GTATTCCATCTGGCCGGATTCATGTTACCTTTTATGATGTTGGTGGGAAAAAAGATTTCTGCAATGAAATCTTTTTTAAAAACTCAAATATATTTATATATGAGGTTGTGGAAATAGATCTATGTGCATATATGTATAGATTTAGTACTAAGGTAGCAGATGGACATTGGGCCTCCACTCAAGAACTCCCTCAATGCAAGAATGCTTTTCTCTATAAAACTGGCATTCCACGATGCTCACCCTCCCGACACAACCGCTGAAGACAAAGCAGGTGCATAAGCAAATGTAGTGAAGAAAGCTGATGGTGCCCACCTATCAAAAGATATAGCATCTGGGGTCTTAAAGGCTTAAAGCGGTCATCTAGCTGAGAAGCAACAAAGCCCACATGGAAGAAGCACACCAGACTGTGTGATCACGAGGTGTCGAAGGGATCAAGTATCAAGCATCAAAGAACAAAAAATCATATCATTGTGAATGAGGGGGAGTGCAGGGTGAAGACCCAAAGCCCATCTGTAGGCAACTGTACATCACCTTAAGGAACAGTACCGGGGAGGAGATGAGCCAGTCAGGGTGCAGTGTAGCAAATATGAAACATCCAACTTTCCTCTAGTTCCTAAATGCTTCCTGCCCCCACCTCCCCCTCTCATGATCCCAATTCTACCTTACAAATCTGGCTAGACCAGAGGATACACACTGGTACAGAGGATATACGCAGATAGGAACTGGAAACACAGGGAATCCAGGGCGGATGATCCCTTCAGGACCAGTGGTGAGAGTAGCGATACTGGGAGGGCGGGGTGGAGAGGGGGGACTGATTGCAAGGATCTACATATAACCTCCTCCCTGGGGGATGGACAGTAGAGGAGAGGGTGAGGGGAGACATCGGATGGTTCAAGATGTGACAAAATAATGATTTATAAATTATCAAGGGCTCATGAGGGAGGGGGAAGCGGGGAGGGAGGGGGAAAATGATGAACTGATGCCAGGGGCTTAAGCGGAGAGCAGATGTTTTGAGAATGATGAGGGCAATGAATGTACAAGTGTGCTTTACACAATTCATGAATGTATGGATTGTGATAATAGTTGTATAAGCCCCTAATAAAATGATTTAAAAAACACACCTCAAAAAGCAAAACAAAACAAGAATCCACAGCTGTGGAGCCCATTCTGATATTCAGCGACCCTATAGGATAGAATTTAACTGACCCTGTTGGTTTCTGTGTGAGTCTGGGTGGAATAGAGAAACAAATCACAGACACTCATGTGTATAAGAAAGAGTTTTATATCAAAAAGTAATTGTACATGAAGAAAACATCCCCAAGTCCTGAGGATGATATTCCTGCCCAGAGCAGTCAAAGCACCGAGAGGACCATAGGGTTGGCCCCACTATGAGACACGACATCCCTCGCTGACCCATAAGGACAACACTGGAGACACGGTGTGGGAATTGTGCCTGATTGATCTGACCCCACCACAGCAAGGTGAAACGTTAAGGCGTGCAACAGAGCAGCAAGGGGAGCAAAGCAATGAAGTCCCCGGGGAATGCCAAAAACAGACTTTGGGGCCAGGGCGTGGCACCCCATCAGACTTGACCGGAAAACACTCTTAAAGGTCAGCAAATAGACTTGAACTATTTATAGGCTTTCCTTTTTTTGTCATTGCCTTTTCTTTTTTGTTATTGTTGTTTTCTTTTGCTCTGTCTTGTGTTTGTGCTTATTGTCTCTGCATGTCTGCAAGATAGGTGGGATCAACAATTCAGAGGAGAAAACAATGGGACCAACAGGTCTAGGGGAACATGGGAGAGGGGGAGGCAGGGGAAAGAAGTGGGTGTTAACAAACTCAGGTACAAGGGAACAACAGGTGATCTAAAATCAATGGCAAGGAGGGCATAGGATGCCTGGTAGGGCTTGATCAAGGGCAATGTAATTGAGAGCAATTACTGAAACCCAAATGAAGGACAAACATGGTAGCGGGATGAGAGGAAAGAACTAGAAGGCAAAGGGCATTTATAGAGGTCTAAATACAGGCATGTACATATGTAACTATGTTTACATATAAAGACAGGAAAATAG